GGGAATCACAAAATGAGAAGCAAACTGGACCCTGGTGGAAGGATGTGGCAGGCAATCTTATCTTAACTGGCTGTGCCCCTTTAAAAAGGAAACAACCCATGTAAGGGTCGTGCCTAGCAGTGACAGAAAGTCATGTCCATAGCTTGAAAAGAGTGTGATCCATGTCACGTTGCTGGGAGAACAGGGATGCAGAGTGGGAATGTGCAGGATCCCTTTAACCAAACCCACCTCAGCAGCCTGATGGTGCATGAGCTGTGCCTGGTCCCTTTGCAGGGTTGACTTGGTTGGTTGCTTTTTCACAGACCTCCCCAGTTCTGAGAGACTTCTTGGAAAGGATGTTGACACGGGATCCGTTGGAAAGAGCAACGGCACAAGAACTTCTGGATCACCCTTTTTTGCTCCAGACAGGACTTCCAGAGTGCTTGGTACCCCTCATCCAGCAGTACAGGAAACGCACCTCCACCTGCTGACTGCAGGGAAATGCTAGAGAAAAGGAATGTTTATGAGATATATCCATAAAAACTGAAGAGACCAGGCAGTCTCGACCTGGGAATGGTGCTTGGGACTGGTCAGCGACAGGTTTGGAGGATGACTGTGAATATTGTCCCTGCATTCTCAGCCTTCTGTGGCTTCTCCTTTGCTGAAGACAATCACTACAGACTCGATCCAAGCGAGGCCAAGTCTGTCTCAAGGATAAAGCGGGTATTCCATGGCCTGGGGGTCACTGCTGCTGCAGGATGGTGTTGGAAAGTGGAGTCTGAAGTTGTGTATCTGAATGTCTGCGAGTTTCTGCACACCTTGGCTGCTGACTACTGAGCTGGGACGATACTTCCCAATTAGAAATGTGATTTTTTTTTTTTTCCCCTTTGTTGTACACTGGAGCCCTGAGCTGACTCATCTCGGGGCACAGACCCCTCTAAACTCTGAAACAATGCACAAAGACTTTTTTTCTCTGAGACTTTTTCACAGATGATTTTAATTTCATTCAGTTAAATGTGGACCTAGAAACCTGCACACACTTCCCTAGGGAAAGGATGTGACATGTATATATTGGTTTCTAAGTGGCTCTATTGCATCAACATGCTTCTCTCTTGCTGCAGAATGTGTGTGGTTTAGTGGTCAGTCTTGAATCCATTTCATGATTTTAAACTTTTGGAAGGGAACACCCCTGGATCCAGACCTCCAAAGGGACTCTGAAGACCAGGTGCTCTTGCCACCAGGATCTTGTGGCTGAAAATTGACCATGTGCAACACCTCCTGTGCTGGTTGGAATGTGAACAGTGTGTTCCTGTGGTTGATTTCCAGCCACGTTTCTGTCCCAGTCCTTTTTCCCAGGAGAGGCTGAGAAATGCTGCCCCAATGCTGTTCTTGGGTAGCTTTGTGGAGATGCTGCAGGAGATGGAATGGAAAGGTTTGAGCTGTTCTGCATATCCCAGGAGAGATTTCTGTGTCCCTGTGAGGTGGTTGTTGAGCCTCCGTCTCCCTGCTGCTACTGCAGGATGTGGGGAGACACTTCTGTCTGGTTATTGGTCTGCCCTTCCCCACCATCTCTTTCCATCTGGAAGGTTTCTGGTTGTCTAAACAGCTCCCTCAGTTATTTTGACATAGTTTTAGGTATTTTGTATGCTACACTCTCTGATCAGTGAGATCCTCAAGGTAACTGGACTCCAGGTCGGTATTAACATTGTGCAGTGATGGTGTGTGTTGTTGTGAGGTCTCAAGAATATACTCCTACGTGTGGAACTGGGATCCTGTTTTGAAACTCCAGATACAAATTTATTGGGATTTAAGTTATTCTTGGGACAGTCCTGCTGTCTCAGAAACTAACCTCAGAATTGCATTTTCTTCAGAAGATGTTCATAATCTCTGTCCTCTGCTATTTACTCCAGTTACAGATCCTGCTTCAAAATTGAAGCCACAGTTGATTACTTGAAGTAATTTGGGATGGAATTCATCTGCACTGATGCAGCCATCCGAGGGTGGGCACCCAGTCCGTGGAGCAGTGCAGGTTGGCTCTGTACCCCTGGGGAGGGGAACACCTCCAGGGGAACCTCTGGAGGGTGGGTCACCCCTTGTCTCAGATACCTGCTGAAGGCTGAAATCGCTGTCTCTCTCACCTGTGGCAGGTACAGGGGGTGGCAGGGGCGTTGCCTAGACTGGATGTCTAAGTTTGGGCCTGATGGAGTTGGCTGAAATGAATTCATTTAGCTCCTCCCTAGCTGCACTGGAAAATTTTTGATGTAAAATGTTTCTGTATTCCAGATATATTGCTTTTTTTTTATGCAAAAGAGCAGGGCTCAGGAAAGATTTATAATTTGAAACAAACAGTCCTGCTTGTCTGTAGTTGTGAATCCTTTGCACTTGTGTTTTAAATTAAAGTAGATCTTGATTTATTCATAAGCCTGTTGGGTGCTGAGATGCTTTGAAATGTGCCTGTAGTTCAGAGATGGGATGTGAGCCTCGGAGTCTGGTCTAACTTCCCTGTTCTGCAGCTTCTGAAGCATGAGGAGACGGGAGCAGAGCCTGGATCCTGAAACAAGCATTTCTTGGAGACAGGGGTGACAGGTTTAACGCCGTCTCGTGCTTTATCCCAAGTCTGACTAAACACAGCCAGGGGAAAGCCCTGGAAAAATTGCATTCAGGTATCTTATAAAATATTCAACCTTGTCACTATATTTGTGAGGAATGCAATGTGCCCTTCCTCCTGCCAATGCAGCATTCAGTTCCTGCCTCTTGTGTTTCTCTCTGCAGCTGGTGCATGGCACATCACCAATTAATCGCTCCATTGCTCAGATGAGTGTGGAATCAAAAATAAATCCTAAGGTAAACCTAGATTAGCTGAAGGATTGAAGCTCCATCTCCAGGGCTGACATCTCCTTTCCCCGGACCCAGGCAGCCAGGCAGGAGCAGGTCTGGAATTTGCATTGCAGTAGTATTCAGGTCGGGATTTCTCCTATGTGAGTGAAATCTGAGTGTATACACAATGTGTAGCCTCTTCTCTGACGAGCTCAGAGCCTACTCAGTGGATAATTATGCTTGGAGATGTTGTTTTCTCTGAACATCTTTCCTTTCTACAAGGTTACACTCATGTCTCAGGGTTTGCTGCTGTTTTGTGTCATGTTTCCCTGAATCCTTCCCTTTTATTTTCCCTCCTGTCAGCTCTGCTGGTATTGAGCCTTTTCCCTGCTGCCACAGCCCTGGCAATCAGCATCCCGGAGGCCTTTGAAGATGGCAGGTGGGATTTACATGAACAATTTGCTGAATCAAACGGGGAGTCTGGGAGTGCTCTCACCTCCCAGTGGCACTGGTTTCTGTGGTGGCGCCTGTCCCCACCAGACAGACCCCTGTGCTGTCACATGCAGCAGATGATTATCCCATTTCTTTTGGAATGGGACAAATCTTTCTCTGTTTAGCCAGTGGTTACAGAAGGACCCTGAGTCAAATGAGGCTCCAGAATTCAAGACTGAGTCTGGTGAGAAGAATCCCACTCTTCTGCTCAGAGCCTGGAGAAAGCTTTTGGCTGTGCCCTGGGTCCTGGTCTATAAATGGGGATAACAACAAGCAATAATCTTGGGAAATCTTTACCACATGGGATACGTGTGGGGCCGGGGAAGTGTACAACACTATAGCTATTGTGCAGCAATTCCTTCTGTGAGTGGAATCAGCACCATCTTGGTTATAGAGATAGAAGGTAATTTTCAGCTGTTGTGAATAGTGTTAGTGATTCTCTTGGTTTGGAGGGTCTCTGTGCCCATCCTTCAGGTACAGTGTCTTGTGTTTGTGTCTCTTGCTGGGCTTGGAGTCCTGTGCTTGAAGATCCTCATTGTTTAATTTTAAAATGATTTTTAAATAATACAATATTTGGGGTAAGAGAATTTAGCAGTAGAGAATGAGATTTAGAATGTGCCACTTAAAAGATGAAAATGTGGAAAGAATCTGAGATTGTGCCTAAATCTGCTGCTGTTCAGTGTCTGACCAGACATTATTGTCTCAGTTACCACTGAATTTGAGGTGTGTGTGTAACCTGTCTGACCCAACTGCCACATCAGCCTGTGCTCGGCAGGTAAGCAGAAACAGGCAAAGCTGCACGTGATGGAATCCTTACAGATGTCTGAACTCCATGGGAAGAAACAGTACTGGAAATTGTGTGGCAGGTCTCTTCTGGAGTCTGTGAGTAACCAGCCCTGGTGCGACCGAGCTGTGCAGTGGGAGGGATGCTCAGGATTCACCATGCGCTTTGACACCTTTGCAGTGACACTGGGTTTAATTTATTTATTTAATTTTATTTAATTTTATCCATTTTTCATCTCCCAGGGGTTTCTTCTGTTCTGTGCAGGGCACACCTGGCCTCAGAGGCACATTGGTGGGAACAGGTGGTGACACAGAGTGTGGCTGTGCTTCATCCCAGCCCTGGCTTTGCCTATAGGGATCATTCTGTGTGCACTCTGCAAGGCACATTTAGAAGGTGTTTTGTTAGCACTAAGATGTAACCTGTGTAAAACATTCCACCTGTTTTTCATGAAATTTGGTCTACTTCACCTGTGCCAGTGCTTGGTCTGATAACAGAAGGGTTGCACAACAGACACTGATGGGGTGTAAGGGCACAAGTCATCGTGGTGTGTTTCCTTCCTTGGGCTTCAACCATCAGAGCATGTTAATAACAGGAATCCAGACTGCCCAAGTTCAGTTTCCTATCTGTGCCGTGGTCCAGCTGAGCTCTGGTTGCTTTTGGAATGCCCACACCTTAAAAAGCCTCGTGCATAGCGTGGTGGTGGTGTCCTGTGTCATACAGCTTGAGCTGGTAATGATGGTGGGAGAACCCAACCTGGCTTAGAGTATTTGTCCTGTTGTGTGCTGCATGTCCTTCCCGTCACTGTGACTGTCCCTGTGGAATGTGTTGTTCTTCAGGTTGTGAGAACTCCTGCTAACCCAGGCCCTGCTGTTGTGCCTTGGCTTTCCATGTGTCTCTCTAACAGGTGTTTATTCTGTTGGGTTCATTTACCAAAAGGGTTTGAGGGGAAAAAGGCACCCCTGGAGCTTTGGCAGTGTGCGTGGAGAGGAAGGTGCCCTGTGCCCACCTTTGGTGCCATCCAGGGAGCAATGGGATGAATTGTGCTTTAAAATAGCTTAAAGCCTTAAAAAAAGACTTCTCTGGAGGGTTTGGGTGACAAAGCTGGTGACAAATTGGTGTAGAAAGCAGGGGCTATGCCCCTGGGCTGTTTTGGAGCTGCCAGTGCTGCCACCTGGGTTGTTAAAATTTTAAGCTGCTTCCTGGCTGTGGTTGTACCTGGCTGTGCTGTGCTGTGGCATCTGGTCTTGAAGGCCCTCAAACGTCACAGCTGGAGTGAGGGCTCAGGGCTGGAGGCTGGTCTAGCCCAACAGAAGTGACTGGACTGGAATAATGTTTTATGGCTTCCCCAGCAGTCCTGGAACAGGAAGGCAGCTGCTCTCCACAGAAGGGAATTGCCAT